GTGGGCCCTGAAGTACAGGAGAGACCCAGAACTGGGACAAGGCCATGGCCACACTCCTAGTGGAGTAGCTTGGCCACTGGTAGACCTTGCCACCTTGACCACTGCTTCCCTGGCTGTCTCTAAGAACAGGAGGCCCAACCAAAAGGGTGAGGACATGGCTAGGCACAGTGCTCACATCTGTAATCCTAGCACTGGGGGTGGACATGGGAAGGTCAATGGTTCAAGGTTAACCACAGCTACATAGTGAGCTCAAGGCCAACAACAACAACAAAAAGTAAATAAATAATTTAAAAATACAAAATGGGCTGGGAGGCAGAGGCAGGTGAATCTGAGACTTCAAAGCCAGCCTGGTATACAGTGACGTCCAGGACAACTGGGGCTACTGGTAGAACCTGTCTCAAAAAGACTAAAAGAAAACAAAATAAGGGGCTAGAGAGATGGCTCAGTGGTTAACAGCACTGGTGGCTCTTGCAGAAAACCTGGGTTCAATTCCCAGCACCCACATGGCAGCTAACAACTGTCCATAACTCCAGTTCCAGGGGACCTGACGCCATCTTCTGACTGCCTCAGGCACTGCATGACATGGGTGCACATACCTACATGCAAGCAATATACTCATACACATAAAATAAAAATAATATTTTTTAAAACACAAAATAAAAAAATCCAAAAACATGGAGCAGAAACCACCTTCCTCTCTCTTCTGTGGACCCAAAGACCTGTCTCTAGGGACCTTCTACCTTGGAGACACTTTCCATCAACTTCACTTCTTAGGGCCAACAGTTGCCAATGTGTCCCTCTTCTGGTGACAATCCTGACAATGACGCTAGCACACTGAGGCTACTTACTACCCCAATTCCAGCCTCCCAGACAAGAAGCTGAAATCACGGTGGTCCTTGCTCCTGGGTAGCTCAAGGCCAGGCAGAACTTGCATTAGAGGACTAGCCCTGACTTGAGTCACAGCCCACAGGGATGGAAGTGGGCCCCTCAGCCAGTCATCCACTGCAGCACAGTCCTCACACACCCTAAGTGAAATATGAACTGAGAGATTCAAAACGTCAACCAATCCAGAAGCAAGAAATTGACCTGGAGAGGTGCAGTGGGTCAGAGCCAGAGGACAAAGTCACTGAGTGGGGCTGTGGGGGCCCAGCAGAGAAGAGCTGTGTGGGCTTAGGGAGCCTAGTCTCAGAGGGCCTGTAAGTCCTGCGGGGGATGGGGTGGTCGGCACACAGCAGTCAAGGGTTTTCCAGCAACTTCCCCTGTCTCAGGCCTTCTGGGAAGCCCTTCCATTCATTCTGCCATGGTGGACTTCTGGTAGACTTCTAGCCCTGTGTGATCTGTACCTGTGCCCAGGCCCCTGGGCCTCCCTCTCCACCAATCCATGCGCTGACATCTTCCATGCCTTTCTGCCTCTGCCCTGGCTGTGCCTTTCCAGAGACTCTAGATCCTCATGCTGAGGTCTGCTCCAGGGACATCTGCTGTAGTTCCTCCTGCTGTCTCTCTCCATAGCACTTGTAGTTTACTCACTGGCTCTGCTGTCCTGGACCGCCACCAACTCCCATCAGAGCTCCAGGGCAGCTCCAGGCCTGGCCTGCTTCACTCATGGTTCTCATCCCAGTAGTAGAGGTGTTCCATAATGACCAGGACTGAACAGCAGGTGAGTGGGGACAGAAATGTGAAAATGAGGGAGCAGAAGAGATAACTCAGCAGTTAAGAGAGCTTGCTGCTCAATCATGAGGACTAGCCAGGTATCCTGCTCATGCCTGTAACCCTAGCTCTGAGGGGGGCTTGCTAGCTTCAAATTTAGCTGAGAAAATGCAAGTCCAAGTTCACAAAGAGCCTGCCTCAAAGGATTAGGTGGAGAGTGAATAAAGGCGTACACCTGACCGACACCTTCTGGCCTTCACAAACATGCACACAGGGGCATGTACCCACATGCACACAAGTGCAGACACATAATGAGTAAATATGAGAGAATGAAGAATTTGGAAGCCTCCCAGCTGAGCTACCCTCACCACCTGCCCTCTGTCAGTCCCAACAATGGTCAACACTACCCATTCACCATACCTCTGCCAGGCACAGTAGGGAGCACTACAGATCCTTCTTAGCTACTTTCCAAAGTGGGTACCCCCATCACTCACCTTCCAGATAAGAAAGCAGGCACTGAGGATGAGCAGTGTACCCAAGGAACTGTGGACACCAGGGTCACACTGCTCACCGGCTACCTATGGCACACCACACACAGGCTTTTCCAGCAGCCTTGGGAAACTTTGATGATGATAAAAGCTCAGAGAGTCCATCACCAGCACACACAGCAGGGAAACAGCCCTAAGCCCACTCTCTTCCACTCTCCATTGACCACAAGTTCAAACACCCTGAAGGGCTAGATGGGAAGAGGAAGTGAGGGGAAGAAACAGTACCTAAGCCAGACAAAACACAACTTCTGCACTGCCAAGGTGCTGGGGTCCTGAGGGTGGTATTCAGTAGCTCCTGCCCTGTCACTGCAGCTCCCCAGGGCTCAGGGTCTGGGTGAAAAAGGAGTTTAGCCAATCATATGGCCTCAGACAAGGAGCACAGGAGAGAAGAGGGGAGGACGGGGTTGGATCACTGCTATTTCTGAGCACCATCCTTGAAGGCAGCAAGCTTTTCAACTACATCCTACACTGACCGGGCTGCAGGGTCTGTCTTTCTGTCTTGGTACCCTGAGACAGTTGTTCTGAGCAGCAGCTCCCCTGGCAAGTCAGAGCAGCCAGCTGTGCTCTGTGGGATGGAGGCCCCAATCTGAGCCTGCCCAGCTCACCTCACCAGCCCAGAATTGTGTACACACCACTCCTGGCCTAGAGGTCCATTCTGCTGAAACAGCCCCAGGTCTCTATTGTTAGGCACTGAGTGACCCCTGACTACACCAGTGTAGAAAGGCAATTATAGCTGAGTAGCTTCAGGAAGCCTGGAAATTAGCCCTGATTAGGCCTTGTGAAGTGGGGAGCCACAGGAGAAGCAGGAGGGGATGCTAATTAATCTTAGGCCAAGTCTTTTAAATTGCACAGACTCTGGGGCCAGCCATTAAGTCACAGTCTAAGACACAAATATGGCTCGTGATAATAGGAAACACTCCAAACAAGCAGAGGAACTGTGTGGAGTGAGGCACAGAGAAAGGCCTCATTAACAAGAAATTAACATTTGTTGCTGGGGACAGAAGCAGGCCCCTAGGCTGGCACCCTGTGGACCTGGCTCTTCAGACCCCAGCTAAGGCAGCAAGAACTGTTCTTGAAGGGTGTAACTCAGTGGAGGTAGGGAAACCTGGGAGTCTGCAGCAACCAGCTTCACATGCCAGCCCAGCCTCTCCTCTGGGCTGTGGACTCTCAGCAAATGTGCCTGGCTTTCTGTGTAGGAAACCAGGATGCCAGGCCCTAGGGTGAGGTGAGCCTAAAACTTATAGGTCCAGGCTGCATTCTCTGCTAAAGGGAGGGGCACTGAAAACAGTGGCTCTGATAATCCTTGTCTTGCAGAACACTGCTGGGCTGGCAGGAGGAAGCGGCCCGGTCATAAAAGTGCAGGCTCCCTGCTCTGTGGGAAAGCATCTTGGTCAACAACCCTTAGCTCATCTCCTTGTCCTAAACAAATAACTCAGCTATCCCTGGCTAAGAGATTAGGCCAGGTTAAAGGTTTACTCCTGAGCCAAAAGCTAAAAGTTCACCATGCTTTTAGCTTTAAGAAAGAAAACGTTGTGGCCAATAAATTACTGGATGGGCATTGATAACCTTGAGTAAAAGTTTAAGAATCTTTCTGGCACCAACTAACAGACTAAATGTCCTGTTTCTTTGTACCCTAAATCTTTGTATGGGACTGTCATATCCCACGTGACTGCTAGTTTCTTGGGATGTATAAAAACCATCTGAATTCTAAAATAAATCGTCCTGTTGGGAAGACACAGGTCCCAGAGTTCATGACTCTGTCGCCGATCAGACTCTCTGCCCTGAAGCCAGCAGGTCCCCCAGCTAAGCAAAGCAAACCTGAGTCCCGACATCTCTGGGCCTCAGTTTCTATAGAAGCACCATGAGGACACGCAGAGATCCACCAGGATAGAGAGAGGCTGGGTGGCAAGCAGGGCAAGTCTTTAGTGCAGTCCACTGCAAAGTGTAGTTCCCAATCTCCTGTGCACAGGATTAATAATGCTGATGGCCCTCTGACTAAGCCTCTGCATCAGAACACTCCCTTGGGTAGAACCAAACCATCTGTATTGTAAAACCTCCACGGGTCAGGAGGAAGGAAGTGCAGTGGGAGCTGAGATCCTGACCCAGCCACTGCAAATGTGTGGCATAGTGACACATGTTCCCACCAGGCAGCTCTGTGTACCAGACCATCCCCAAGGGAAGCCAGCATGGCATGGTCCCATGGCAAGGCCTGAGCAGGTAAGATGTGGAACAGAGCCAGTATCTAACTCTGAGTCATGATTCTGCCCCTTCTTGGCTGTGACCTTGGACAGCAAACTGAGCTCTGCTAAGCATCCTTCTCTGCTCCCTAACAAGAGGGCCACAAGAGAAGCCTCTAGGTGTGCTGTTAGGGCAAAGCAGAGGAGCCACGTGTAGCTAAGACCTTGTTGGTACTCAGGGTCAGTATTCAGAGATGCAGGCTGTACTGTCAGCAGCATCAGCAATGACGCAAATAGGTACCTGGGCTCCAGGAGGCAGGGCGCTGTCCTGCTCACCCTCTGAATCCCTGGCATATAAGGCCACACATGGCACACAGTGTTCAATAAAAAGGACCTGGATGAATGAGTCCCTACAAGTGAGTGTGTATCTACTCTTCCTGCACGCCCCTGTGAGGCTTTGGAGGGAAGAGGGAAGACATTGCAGGAGGGCAGATACTCCAGAAGCCAACACCACATAGAGAGGGTGCCCCACAGTGCCCAGCACAGCCACCCAAGTCCATGGGAATTTAGACACTCCTCATTCTAATGTCTGTGCCAGGGCCACAGTCCTGATCGCTGGGGTCCAGACCTGGTGCCATCCTCGGCGCTGAACTTTGCTGGGTGCTGTCCGAGAGCTGCATCTTAAGGCTTCTTCAGCTTCTCGAAACAGGGTTCCTCGTCCATAATCTGCAGCAGAGACAGGGGAGGGGCTGGTGAGGCATGGACAAATGCATACCAACTGCTGTTTGGAATCCCGCACCTGAAACACCAGCCAGTTGCCCAAGGTCATGCACATGAGGGATGCACAAGGCAGCCTGGCCTGTTGCAGCAAGCCAACAGCCAGCAGAAAAAGGATGGGCATGAAAGCTGCAGCATCCATGACATGAAATGCCACATATAATGTAAATCAGGCAGCTCTATATGTACAAAGAACCATGGCCAAGACACAGACACAAGGGGCAGTTCACATAGCAGGTCACTGTTTATGTAAAAGAGGGTGGAGGAATGAATGAGTCTATTTCTGGGGTCCCAAGTTCAGCTGACCTTCCTAGCTCTTTGCCCTAATTTTTCCAACTGGCAGCATGTCCAAAATGAAAACTTACAAGAAACATGGGTCTCCCTTTCTGCCATGGGGGCTAGGACACTCATGGTAACTGTGCTAAAACTGCAGTGGCTCTCTTAGGGGAACATCTTAGGATACCACTTTCTTCTCTTGCCCCTTTGCTGTTGTTTTATTTTTCCTGTACAAAATGGTTTTGGAGTAAGTCAATGGTTATAATACTACTAATTAAGGTTACTGTGTGCCAGACACATTACATCTCCTAGGTCATTTCATTTTCCTATCAAGTCTGCAAGGTGGGTATAATTATTCCACTTCACAGAAGAGGAAACTGAGGGTCAGAAAAGTCCCAACTTGCTTGAGATCTAAACTAGAGAGTGGCAGAACCAGATTCACGCCCATCTGGCTCTGGCCTGATCCAAATTCTCCCCTGTGCCTCAGGAGCATGCTGGCCTCTTGGACAAAGTGGTCTGTTCTGAGGGCACTCCAGCACCCTAGGGATGGGCACTTTGCTGATTCCATTTTAAAGAAGAGCAGATGGAGGCACAGAGAGACCAAGTAGCTTCCCTAGAGTAACACAGCCAATCAGAGCCTGAGCCTGCATGCCCAGCTGTTCTACCCATTCAATCCAACCATGTCAGTGTCCCTACTGGGCAGACTAGGTAGAATATCTTCCTACACTCACAGGCATCCTGGGGTCTTCTCAGAGGGCACATAAAATCACTTTAAAGTATGCAGGGCATGGATTAACTAAACACAGACATGAACAGTGAAATATTTCATGGGGGTTAGGTACTAAAGTTAAGACATACACGTGAATATCAGGCATTATTTAAAACTGCCCTTAAATCATGGTGCTTGAAGGCCAGGCAATGTAGTAAATAGAAATTTCTTGCTCTAGCTGCCTTTAGTTTGTGGGAGAGGAGGCCAAATATGGTTTAAAAGGAGTACTAAAGCCTTTATGTTGGGGTAGAGATCAGAGCTGTGTACGAGACCTGGGTTCCATCCCCAGCACCTTTAAAACAAGTTTTGTCTTTCTTGCTCTGATAATCTCTTTTTGGATAAGTGGGTGCACTGAACTTACCTGCTGGTGAGTTCACATTTGCAGGATGTGTTTCCAAAGTTTCTAATTTATTTATTTAATTAGTTTTCTTTTGTAGTACTGGGGATTTGAACCCAAGGCCTTGTCCATGTCAGAGCCTTGTCCTTGTCATGTTTTACTACTGAGCTATATTCAGTTCCTTAATTTTCAACTTAATTTCAACACGTGCCTGACTGGGAGGGCCTGTACTCACCTTGCGGCCCCTCAGTCTGAGAGGCAATTCTGGAGAAGTCTGTGTGAACTGCTTTCCGTGGGGATGTCTTCAGCTCTGAGTTGGCCCCATTGACATAGACAGAGAAACCCTGTTCCAAGTGCTCCAGCCTCAGCTGCACAGGGTCCTTGGCCTTGAGATGCTTCAGTATCCTGGAAGAAGATGGTATACTTGGAACACAACACCATCTGAGGCTCATGGTTCCACAGCCTGCACTAAACTGCTTGGGAAAGTGGTGGCAAAGCGGCTCTAGTCAGAGGCTGGCTGGCGTGTGCCCTCTCCACACAGTCTCCACAAGGTCATTACTCTACAGAGAAGCCATGAGGGGGAGATGGTGTGATGACAGGGAGTCCCTGTCATCGCTCTGAGGCTCAAATGCCAACTTGGCAGAAATTAATGTGGCAGTCCCCACCTTGCTGTGGAACCTGAGGCAAGAGGAGGCCCACCTGGGCCTTGGGATTTGCTGAGATGATCCCAATTTTATGCAATTTTCCTATGTGTGAATAGTCGCATTTTGATATGTAACACAAAGTGGTCCAAGGTCTACAGCTTCCTAGGAGAGATTTTTAAGTAAGCCATCCACAAAGCGGGGAGCATCCTGCATCAGAGCACTTCAAGTGAATAGACATGTTTGTGAACACTCACCCTTGGTATGTCATGGCCATCGTTCTAGCCATAGTAAAGTACATCAATGCAGGAGTTTGTGTGAGATTGGTAATATGACTATTGCACCCTTCAGTGCATGTGTGGCCAGCTCTCTCCATCAGCTTTGGTAAAGTCCAACCTCAAGCGTGGTCCTTGACCTATTCCTACACAACTTTGCCACTATGGCATATAGTGTCCTTGTCAGCACCTCCAGAGCCAGATTCTCGGGGTCTTTAGGAGCACCCCATGGTAACTAGATTGACAAGGCAACAAGTGGGTGTCTTCTTCAGTAACTAAGTGACCAACAAGTTAGTAAATTAAAACAAAAACAAAAACAAAAAATCTCATCACATAAAAGGTGAACACCACATGCCTAACTCAATTCTGAATACGTAGCCCATGCTTGTTATTCCAAGTTACGATCCTGAAAGCCACCATGCATGCTGAACAGGCCTGTACTGACCCATGATTCATGTGGGGGAATGGGATTTGGCTCCTGCCAACTCTGGTCACAGCATTCACTCAGCTGGACAGCCTAGCGTCTTGCTTATGTGTTTCTGTTTGAAGATATCTTCATGTTAGGCATGGTGGTCATACCCCATAATCCCATCACTCGGAGGCTGAAGCAAGAGGGTTGAAATGAGTGTGAGGCAAGCCTGGGCTACAAAGTGAAGCCCTGCCTCCAAAGAAACAACAACAAAAAATAAAGATATCTCACTAGGGGCATAGCTCCATTGGTTAAGGCTTGCCTTGCAAGTAGGAAGATGTGATTTTAATCTCCAGAACCCATGTTTTTTTTTTTTTTTTTTAAAAAGCCAGGAGTGGTGGCATGTGTTTGAAACTTGTAATCACAATGTTGAGGGGGTGGAGATGAGATCTCTGCTGGCCAGCCAGTCTAGCCCAATCAGTGTGCTCCAGGCCAGTAAGAGACCTTGTCTCAAAAAGCAAAGTGAATACTATCTAATAAACAGCAGCCCGGGTTGTCCTCTAACCACACACAAACACACACACACACACACACACACACACACACACTCACTCATACATATACACATGTATACACACAAACATGTATACATGTGCATGCATATGCACACATATGCACACACATATGCACACAAACAAACATGCACACACATACACAAAGAATAAGAAAGTAGAGGCAGCTCACGGCATGGGGTTTCACACTGAACATGAGTCTGGAGTACTGTAGCCCTGGCCTGGCACAAGCTTGCCCAACAACATACTCTCCATGAGGCACGTCACGGCTTTCTTCACTCAGGAACACTGGATGGGATTTCAGAGCCAGACCTCGGGCTAGCTGAAACAGAACAACCAACAAAAGCACAAAACTGAGGACTCAGGCACTGAGTGTCCCGAAACAAGGACCCTCAATAGTTGTATGGGAGCAGAGGAGGTTGAGAGTCGCCTTGTTCCACCTCTGCCAGGAACGTGTGTCAAGCAACTAAGCTATTTTGCTGCCTGCACTGCTGAGTGGCTGCAAAGGCACAGGAAATTTCAAGGTTCACTGAGCAGTCACTCAGACACAGAACCCGAGGATGAGGACTGACCAAGTAGGCACACCATTGATAAGGAAACTGAGGCACAGAGAGGGCAGCAACCTGCCCAAGGTTGCCCAGATGCTACACAGCTCCAGAGTCATCACCAGAACAGACATGTCACCCCTAGCATCAGCGACAGTGCAGCAACTTGCAAACTGCTTTAAGTCACAGACTCTTCTAAGAACGAATAGGAAGATAAAGATAATGCTATACATTTGGTCTTTGCCCAGAGCATGTTCCATAACTCTGGGCAAGGAAAGGGTCAGTACTAAAATGAGCAAAACCCTAAGCAAGCCAGGGCCTGGCACCAGGGGAGTAGAGGTCGGGACCCTATGGCATAGCAGTCACCAGAAAGATCCCGGACACCCTTCATGGGGCCGAGAAAAGAACAAAACAAAAATAGTCCATAGGACTAAAGGGATGACTCACTCACTAAAGTGTTTGACAGATGAGGACCTGAGTTCCAGAACTCATTCAAAAAAGAAAAAAAAGCAGGTGTGGTGGCACACACTTGTAATCCCAGTACTGGGGTAGGAACAGGTGGATCCCAGGTATTTGCTAGCCAGCCAGCCCAATGGGAAGCCCCAGGTCCCAGGGAGAGACCCTGAATCAGAAAACAAGGTGGGTTTTCTGAGGAAACAGCACTTGAGGCTCATCTCTGGCCTCCACCTGCACACACGAGTGTACACATACACACAAACAAGTACACACAGGCACACACAAAACAGTAGATGGGGAGGGCAGAGGGAAAGAGTCAAATGAAACCCATTATTTTGTAGGCTAACTTAAAAAAGAACAGTATGTGGTAGGTGCAAAATTGGAAAAAAAAGAAAAGAAAACAGGGGTTTGTGGGGCTGAGTAGAAAGTAATCAACATAAAAATGATGCTAGGTGTGAGGGGATGTGGTAGGATTACAGTGCTTTCTTTGTTTACTTTTTAAATGTTTTGGGGGCAGCTGACACATGCATCTTTTCAACAACCATGACAGGAATGTTTATTAAAGACTGCCTATCTCATGCCAGCCTTGGAAGCCTGTGAGGTGCCTGATTGTTGGGCAACAACACAGAACAGAAGGAAAACACAAGTCACTAAGAGACGTTCTCCAAACACAGCGATCGGCATACTCCTGGGAACATAGAAGGTGCTACAGATACTTTGGTCCCCAAGGAGAAAGCAAGTCCAGGGCAGCCAGGAAACCCGAACCACCAGGTGCAGAGCATGCCTTGACTTTCCTCTCATGTCCCCAAGTCACAGTTATGGCAGCATCCCATGGTCTGGGATCTGGAGCTGGCACTGCACATGGGTGCCTGCTTAAGCAGGATGATTTATGAAAATTGATTTATGAAACTGATAAATTAGGAGATAATTATTCAGACTGTGAAAGGAAGGGCTAAAGAAATTCCCCTGCTGCAGCTGAGCACAGTGACATTGCAGTGGCATCGGAGAAAAATACTTCCTTCAAATGAATGGCTGCTTTGCATAAAGTGGTCCAGGCTGCGGGGTTCAGGTAGATCCCACTCAGTCCCTGCCTTTCTAACACTGAGCCCTGCCCACCCACTGCCCCACCACTGCCTGCCAGGTTTGTCTGTCAGGATACACAGAGCAGCAGTGATATCACATCAGGATTTGCTATGGGTTTGCTTCTCCTTCCCGCCTGGTCTGAGTGGTGAACACAGATAATCATCCTGCTGGCCACAGGCCATCTGAGAGTGAGTAACAGCAAGAGCCCTCATGCCAGTGTCTAGCACAGCAGTCCCAAGGAACTCAAGGGCAAGCAAGGACACAAGTCCCCAATGCTCACACACCCATGCACCTAACAGCCTTGTTTCCATGGTATTCTCATAATGACTTCTGAGAGCTCTTCTCATGGCAGAGGAAGCATAGGCAAGGTATGTCCACAGGGACACAAGATGTACTTCCTGGGTTGGGGAGCTTAGGAGGCACAGTTGAGGGTCACAGAAAGCAGGGGCTAGTGGTAAAGAGAAGGCTGCACAGATGGCAGGTGTACTGGCTGTTCACAGGACAACTGTGGTCAGTATAATAGGACAGATGACTGAACTCTCCATGGCATCGGAGCCATGCAGTTGTGGGGGACTGTCATCTACCCCCTGCTTCCTTGAGCCTTCAGTTATCTCATGGGCTAACTAAGGGCTCTGCAAAGATCACCATCCCAGGTCTCTGGGTGACACTTGACAAGGCAAGTAGATGAGAAGAAAGGAGGATGGTGAGTACAGACATGGGTAGACGGAGTACATACTTTAAGAACCTGCCTGAGTTCATCCTGCAGTGGCCTGGGTTCTAGGTTCTCCCTGCTGCCTCTTTTATAGGAGTTTGTCTGCTCTGCCCATTTGGGTTTTGTGCTGAGCTAGTTAAGAGGGACAATGGATCCTCACTGAGGCCTCTCATCAGCTTCAAGGGTAAAACTAAAGAGGGGTGCCAAAAGCCTGCCATTCTATGCCAGCCCCTGGTGGCCTGCAGGACTCGGTGTCGTCTGGGAACAGCATCTGCTCAGGCTCCGGCAAATGCAGCACTGCTTGTGTGGTTTTGAGCAGTTTCCCCGACAAGGAGCAGCTGTCTCTTCTTCTGTGGAGGAGACTAGGAATGCCTATACTGTACAGGCTGCTAAAAGGACAGAGCAGGTCACTAGGAGAAAGCTCTGGCTATGGCACTGCCCCAGGGGTGGCCCCAGAAGCTTTCTTCTTTCTGCCTGAATCTCCTATTGGGGCAGAGTGTCCTCCTTTGGGGCCACGTTCTCCTGGAAGCTCTCCTCAGTGACTTTCTCAAGGACCAAATGAGAATAGGGTTACCAGGTTCTTGGATCTGGTGAAAACCTGTATCCCTGGCCTCCCTCTACCACAGCCCCCTCTGCCACCAGCTCTCCAGACAGGAATCTAATCTTCCCAGTCAGTCCTCATCACTCAGCCCTTGCTGCTTGCTCTTGCTCCAATCTGCTGGGGAGTGATTACGTCTCATGAGGCTAAGTGGCCAGAATCACTAAGAGGTTGCCAGGAGGAAGCAGAGCTCCTGCTCCTGCTGGGCCCTCCCATCCCTGCCCGCAGGCATCAACTGGCCTGGAGCTCACTATGTAGACCAGGCTGGCCTCAAACTCACAGAGATCTGCCTGCATCTACCTCCCAAGTGCTGGGATTAAAGGCATATACCACCACACCCGGCCACATATGGCAACTTTGTAGTCATGGCAGCCTTGTGCTCACCCTGCCATGACCTGGGAGCTGCTCCAAGAAGCAGGAAGGGTGGTGGACAGGTGTCCCTTCCCTCTGCCAGTGGCTCTCCTCACCTTCCTGGGAGTTCCTTCGGGATTAGCACCTTTCCCTGTCCTTTATTGTGTGTGGCTTGGGTGGGCCTGCCTTCATCCAATTTTGTGGGCAGTCAACAGCTGAACCTCACCAGACACAGGACAGATTGGCTAGGGATGGAAATAGAGCCCAAGCCAGGTCTAGAAGAACACCCCCCTCCAGAAGGGGCTGTGATGGAAGCATCAGGAAAGAAATGCTCTCTACCTAGAGGCAGCATGTGGGTGGGGCCCCTGCTGGCTGTCAGCCATTGTGAGGGAAGCCTTTCCTGAGCATGACTCCCACATAGGCAAACAGACACAAGCAGACTGGTTTTGAAGATGTAAGTTATGTGCCTGGATCCAGCTATGCCTGAAGTCAGAGCATCGTAACAGTATTTTTGTTCTGATTTTAGTGGTGCCAAGGATTGAGCCCAGGGCCTTGCGTATGGGAGGCAAATGCTCTGTCACTCTGGTGTACTCCCAGTCCTCATGCTTGATTTCATCTCATGAGACAGCAATTTCCAAGTTACACAGACCAGTTTAATCCTGGGTTTTTGACTCTTACAGCCAAACAAATAATTAGCTGCTAACTAATATAGTCTACGGGACAGGTGAGATGACTCAATGGGTAAAAGTGCTTGCCACCAAATCTGAGGACCTGAGTTCAATTTTAAGAACCCACATGGTGGAAGGAGGGAATTAGCTCCTGATAGCTCTGATTTCTACATGCACACTATGGTGCATAATAAATATTTTTTAAAAATTATAAAAGAAAATACCAAAACAAAATGAAAATATTAATGCAGTCTGTGTCTTCTTCATACCAACAACTTCTTTCGCCCTACATAATGCCAGGCACCTGGAAAGCACTCAGAGAAGTAGGAAGAATATAAGAATATACTGAATATATAAATAATGTCACCCAGCATCCCCAGGCAGCTACATCCTAGGCAGATGTCTACTGAGAGTGCTCCCAGTGACTGCACATACCCTTCTCAGGGTCCCAGCACCCTGCTATGCAGCCTGAGCTCACTATAATCTTCAGCCTAGGTTTCTACCATCATGTCAGGCACACAACTAGACTTCCAAGTAAATTACAGCTTTGTCCCACCAGATCCTACTCAGTATACATAGGGCCACCAGCAACTCCGGCAGGTTTCTCTCCTTCTGGTCACTGTGAAAGTGTCAAACAAAATGTAAAGTATAGCCTGACTCTACCACTTCCTGGCCTGGTGCCCTGGGTGCCCACCTGAACAGCTGCCATCACTCCACCTACCTGCCTGGATGGTGGGCTGTGGCACCTGGCGTGTGGTTGGCTCTCTGTGAAAGGCCCCTGAGTCTACCGTGCACAGTTCAGAGGCATTCTTTATAGGTCCCAGGTCCTGCCACAAGTCCTGAGTGGGGGTCCTTTCCAGCTCTGCCTTCTCACTGCCTGCCACTATGACAGTTCCCTCTCAGTGATGCCCTGCCCCCAGCTTTACAGCAACTCAATTTTGATATATTTTAATTGCCTCCATGCTGCAAACTTGTCTGTGAAATTCTCATCTGTGCTATCAGCCAGCACCTCTGTGATCGCACTTATTGATCCCCCGATTAATGAGAAACAATCTGCTCATAAGGAGCCGTGACGCTCTCTCCCCAGACGAGCTGCACAGAGATGATTAAACCATCACCCAGGTGTTCAGTGGCAACATCCAGCCTGCTAGAGACTGAATAAAAACATCCAGCTCCCTGGCATCCACCAGGATAAACACCCCTGGTGTCTAATCAGCAGGAGCTATCTGCTGTGCTTGCTTGAGTCGCCCACTCCTGGGATGCAAGGAGAGTTACACTGAGCAGTTGGACAGAGGACACCGCTCAGTACTTCTGGCTGGCTCTAGAACATTTATCTGGAAATTCTTTGCCCAGAGTGGCACTGCCAGCTCACTGAATGTATCTGGAAATGTGGGTGGGCTTTGTTGCCACAGATACAGGAATCTTACTGGGATTCTCTAATGGGGCCAGTGGGCAGAGATGTTACATAACAATGTGGGAGCCTGTCTCACACATTCCTAACACCTCACTAAGGCTCCACTGACAAGTCAACAGGTGTTCAGACAGCCAGACAAGGGTTGAATGACAGACAGGACGACACCTTTCCAGAATGAGACTTAAGACGATCCCCGTAACAAACACAAAGACCCCAACTGGTGCTTCTGTTGCTCCCTCCCTTTCCTCCCTTTGGTTTTTTGTTTGCTTGTTTTGAGACAGGATCTTCCTGTAGCCCCAGCTGGCCTGGAACTTCCTATGTAGACCAGGCTGGCCTTGATCTCACAGAGATCTGCCTGCTTCTGTAGTTTAGCTTGAATTTATCACCAATACTGTAAAACACAAACTCAGATTCCAGCTTCTCTGCCACCATGGAGGCTCTGCCCCCTCCCTCTACCTGTATTCCCACAAACAACCACAGTAGAGCTGAGCAGTGTGCACAGGAGAGTTCCAGGTGCCCCACCCCTGCCAAGCTGGCTTCTCTCCCTGCCTGGCCTGGCCCCTCCTAGGCTTTGCGTTTGTGAATCCAGCTTATTGCAAGGCTCAGGCCTGAATATAAACCACAATGAACTGGAACTGAACTTGCTTGGCTGGTCTTGAGGCCTCTTTCAGTTTACACCAGGCTGCTATGACCTTGACCACTGTACATCACACTATTGTAAGCTTTTTCAAGAACCAGCACCCAGGACCAGCATCGGCCGCACCATAACTTTAAATGACAACTGAGCAACTTCAAACACTGTGTAAAAGAACTCCACCCTTCCACAATGCTGGTGATTACAAACTCAGATTTCCAGGGCAGGTGCCTGTGAGATGCCAGCTACTCAGATGACTGGCACAGGCTGCTGTACCCCTGACCCCCAGCCCTCTAAGCATGAGGCAAGAGGCAGGACTGGCACAGCCAAGTTTGCTACCACTCAATCAAAACATGCAATTAAAGCAGTGGATGGGAAAAAAAAGGAGCTATGATTGCAGATAATAGTCTCATCCTCTGCATGGAGGGGTGCTCTGCACACCTTTCCTGAAACAGGACCACAGGACCTATGTGCTGTTAATAAATCCAAATCAATTTTTATTTGACTAATAACAAGGGCTGCCGTCGGGTGGCTTTGTCTTACCGGTTCCTCTGCTGAAGCAATATTAAATACTCATCATGTTTCTCATCAAAGTCTGTCACCATGTCCTTAGTGTAACCCTGAAAGAAGAAACAGAACGGTGTGACAGCAGAATGCAGGACGCCTTCACTGAGGCTGGGTGCAGGAGGCCAGCTGAGCTGGGAGGCCAACCCTGACGAAGGCCCAGCTCCCCTGGGTGCATCACTCTGGCAACCCAGAGCCCCAGGGACTGTGTGGGAGCCCAACAGGTCCCAAGTGTGCAGTTTTACCAACGTACAAACGAAGGCCAGTTCCCCAGACTCCTGACAGTACCCTCCTCCCATGCCCTATGAAGTCCAGAGATCTAGAAAGGCTTGGGCCTCTAAGATATCTCCTCAAGAAACATTATTCAGTTAACTCAATTACCAGATCACCCCAGCTGTGGAAAATGGAATCTCATGTTCTCCCATTCCAAGAGGAATTAGTGCTGATTATAAACAACATGGTTATCACAGAAGTATAGCCCTGTACCTCCTCTTCTGGCCACAGGGTCTGAATTTCTTTTTTGGGAGCCTCTTGGCTGCACCTTTCAGTTCAGTGGCTCCCATAGGTACTTATGACACTTTCTCTGAACACCTGAGTCACACAGCCATGGCTTGGAAGCATAATCGTCATGTGCTCCCTCAGTCACAGGGAGTCATAGTTTGGGGAGCATAGAACCAGTCAGCTTCTGATCTTGCTGACACTGGGGATGGAGTTCTCTTTCCTCTGGGTAGGGGGCAGGTCAAGCAGATGGGATCCTGGTCTGGAATTGCCTGAGAATAGTGATAAAGACAGAAGAAACAGGCTGGAGAGCTCAGTGGTTAAGAGCTCTGGCTGCTTCTGCAGAGAACCAAGGTTTGGCTCCCAGCACCCATATGGAGGCTAACAACCATTTGTAACTCCAGTTCTAGAGGATCCAATGCCCTCTTCTGGCCTCCATGGGCATTGCACACATGTGGTACACCTATATACATGTAGGCAAAACACTCATACACATAAAATAAAAATAATTAAAAAAAAAAAAAAGCAGAAACAAGAGCTGGGGAGAGACAGATTCCCACTGGCTCCTGTATCCAGTCAAGGTCCTTGTATCCATACATGGTCCCTGCATCTACCCACAGTCCCTGAATCCACTCACAGTCCCTGCATCTACCCCCATCCACTCACACCTGAAGAAGTATTCAGACAATTCATTGGTCAGTTCATTTGTTGCTTTGAAACTTCAGTCAAGGCTCTGTTCTTTGCAGCCAAATGAATTTTAAGTACTATGCTGTAACCCGACCATAAGAGCTCACCCATTACGGGCACTGACTGCTCTTGCAGAGGACCTGGGTTTGATTCCCAGCACCCACATGGCAGCTACGAACTGTCCTTAATTCCAGTTCCAAGGGAATCTGAAGCCCTCTTCTGACCTCTGCCGCATTGCATGACACAGGTGCACTCACATACACGCAGGCAATACACTCATATACATAAAATAAAATAAAATAAATTTTAAAGTTTTTTAAAAAGACCTCACCCATTACAACTGAGTAGTTTTGAGTTTTTTGAGACAATGCCTCATGATATAGCACAGGCTATCTCTGAACTCCTGGTCCTTCTGCCTCAGCCTGAGTGATAATGTGCCACTTCCTTGGGTCAGATAATTTATTAAAGTATTATGAAGGGGTTATTAATGTATATTAAGCTACATATAAAGTGTTATGTGCTATCTCATATATATAGTGCTAGATAGCTTTAGTATCAACTTGACACACCTGGGTTAAGGGAGCCTCAATTGGGGAATTGCCTTCATTGGGCTGGCCTGTGGCCATGTCCATGGGGCACTTTCTTGATTGTTGAGTGATGTGGGAGGGCCCAGACCACTGTGGGTGGTACCACCCCTGGGCAGGTGGGCCTATGTTGCATAAGAAAGCAGACTGAGCAGGGGCCAAGGGAGCAAGTCAGTAAGCAGTGATGCTCCATGTCCTGTGCTCCAGCTCCTGCTTCCAGGTTCCAGACCTGAGTTCCTATCTTGGGCTCCCTAATGAACTATGACCCGAGAGATGTAAGCTGAATAAAGCTTTTCCTCCCCAAGTTGGTAGCGGTCAGAGTGTTTTGTCACAGCAATGGAGAAACAAATTAGGAGATATAGATCTGTGTGTGTGTGTGTGTTGAGGAGGGTTGAGACAGGGTCTCACACTGTAGCCCTGGCTAGTATTGAATTTGCTGTAATCCTCTGCCTCAGCCAACAGAGTGCTGGGCATGCACCACCAAGACTGGCCCTTGACCCAGGGACCTGTGCATTTGTTCCTGTCTCCATGCTTCCCGTTGACCCAGCCAGGTGCGCTCACTGCTCCTTTCCATCCTCCCCAGGCTCTTTGTTGGCAGGACCCAGAGCCCTTCCTACACTGTTCTCTACCAGGGTCTTCTCAGGCCAACCTTCCTCCTTGGCCCTCAGCTGCAAATGCCACACCCCTGTCTGCTTCCCTCTCCATCTTCACTTCTCTCTCTGGTTACCAGGAAATAGGGCCCCCAGGATGGGGTGCATAGGCAGCCATTCTTAGACCAGCCTAACAGCCCAGTCCCCCTTTCTCCTCCATGTCCTGAAGACCCCAAGTTGCTGCCACCTGCTTGCCTCTTCCCCTGTCACCCCTACTTTTCCTCTTATCCAGCTAGCCTTACTTCTCCCAGTCCTCTGCCTCTCAAGTGCTGGTCTGCATGTACATTATCTGGGGCCCGTGCTTCCATGAGATTCTGACTAGTGAGGACCAGGAGGTCTTAACCAGCTCCCAGATAATGCCCACAGGCCACATTTGGAAAGCAAAACCCTACACTAGCCAAGCACTCTACCACCCAGTCACATCTCCAGCCCCCTAAACCTCTGAGTGTCACAGGGGTTTCATGCTAACCAGTGAACAATAATAATAAAGGGTGGTATTATAAAATGAGAAGAAAATGCAAAAACAAACTGATATTTCTCTGGTTTCCTGAGTTACCCCCAGAGGCTCTTCCATGGAACAGTTCATGGACTGAGCCTGGTCCCTTACAACGAGGGTGTGCACAGCATGCCTCAGCACTGCAGGATGGCAACTCTGGGGAGCATTCAGTACCCATCGTTCTCTTTTGATCGTCCCAGCAGCTCTTGCAGTGGTTATTATTACCCCATTTAAGAGACAAGGAAATTCATGTCATGCATCTTCCCGAACACTATCAACTCCACGGCAATGTACATAACCATTTTGAAATATTCAAGTGACCGCTGATATATTATGGTATGGAATGAAGCATTTGATGGCATTTTTAGAAGAAATACAGACTTCAAAGAGATGTAAGTGTGTGCCAGGCTGCTGTGGGCTTTTACCTTGGACCCTCTGGGGAATGTATCTAGTCTCCTCCACCAGGAGGTAGATGTCACAGAGAGATTTAGAGCAAGGTCAGCCAGTCTGCCTGGATGCTTCTTAAATGCTAGTGCACATAGATCACCTAGGGATTGTGACACAGTGAAGGGTTCTGATTCAGGATGGTTGGGAGGTTCCGGGCATCTCAAACCAGCTGGTGCCTATAGGCCACACTTGACAAGCCAGACCACTAGTTTACCTTATTCCCCATTACTCAATACACATGTCCTGTAGTCTGACTGTCTCTGAAAGTGAGCCAGGATTTGGAGTCCAACCATGCCACTGGACATGTGGTTGCCATGGTTTGGATGTGGTCTGTCCCTTCCAAAACTCAGGTTGGAATCTGTTCCCCAAACAGTGTTGAGAGGTGGTAGGGCTTTAGGAAGTGGTAGGCCACAAGAGCTCTGCCTTCACAGAGGGACTGATGTCAGTCACTCTTGAGGGACAGGTTAATACTTGAAGAGTGAGTGAGTCCTTGTGAGACTGGATCACTACAGTTAATGGACGTTAAGAGAGTGAGGCTGCCCCTATGTTCATCTTTTTTCCACAATGCTATGTTGCTCCTTGCCTGAAGTTGCTGCCAAACCCTGGAACTCCCCAACCTCCAGAACCCAGAGCCACATAAGCTTCTTTTCTTTACAAGTTACCCAGTCTCAGTTACTCTGTTGCACAGAAGACAGACAAGTTAGATAGAGGCTGGATATGCTAACTTGTCAGAAGGGTTTAGCAGTGTACCCATCACTACAGACTTCCCACCCAATATTTGTTACATAGTATTTGTGAAACTCCATTCCTGAAACAGCCTTATCCTAACCCTACCCAACCCATACTTAGTCCTAACTGCTCCCTTAACCATTCTATTCCTTTTTCCAGAAATCTAGCCCATCTCCCTCACCCCAGTGGAGGATTCTCCAGACCCCAACTCAGTTTCAGTTTCCATGAGCTTCCCAGGCCACTCTTGCCTCCACTCCCTGTAGTTCATCCTGAAAACCTGGAATGAATGTTAAGCTACACAAAACCCACTGGCAAATAGCACAGCAATAGGGGTTAAGTTATTAGCATTTCACCATATCAAGTGCTCACTTATCTGGAACTGAATACATGGGTGAGCCTGCTTCCTCATCTGTAAAAAGGGAATCTCAGTAAGTCAGCCTCACAAAGTTGATCTGCAGATGAACTAGGATGGAAGTGGACATAATGGGGAATCTTCTCTTTTTAATTCTGCATTCCTTAGTCAGATTACAAATCCTGGATGTGGAGCTGGGCAATGGGAAGGAAGACTGTGTGTGGAAGTCTGGAGTCACTGTCACAGCTCCACAGTGGCTACAGTTGACACGTGTCCTATGAACCAGACCAGGCATTGCACTAATCCCACCTGGTGCCAAACTCAGTTAACACTACTGCCCTGGTCATGCCTCAAGCTGCCTCTCCCTGAAGTGATGCTGTACACTTCATTTTGCCCAAGTTTCACTTCCTTATTTCTAAGGTGAAGCCACCAATAATGCAATGAAAACCCTAGCAAGGTTCAAGTTTGTCCTCCCCATTTCCTACCAACACTTGCTGGATGCTTGCTATGTGGCCTGCACCCTTACACATACAATCAGGGTTTAAAATCATCATAATCATCATCATCATCATCATCATCATCATCATCATCATCGCGTGTGATGTGTGTGGAC